AATTATTTCTGCCATTATCATTTCCTCAGGACTAGTAAGCTGTCTACATTCTCTACTCCACACAGTCTTAAAATCCTATCTTTATAGTTATTTAGTTAATGTAAAAGAGGGGAGGGCATTTCCCTAAGTTCAATACATGCTTCTGGTGAACCATGAGTTGAACTCAGTGAGGCGACATCATGGAAGTGATTGCCTTTGGGAAACAGGCAGACAGATTAAAGACAAAGGAAGTAAGGGTCAAATTATATAAGTTTTTTGGGTTGACATAAGGAGATGGAGTTGTCTCCAGGAAATTTTGGGGAACTGTTAAAGGAATATTAGACTCAAGCTTTAGAAAGTTCAAGTATGGTAAGCAATATAGAAGCTAGGGAGAGTTAGGTAAAACTAGGCCATGAAAAAATATGAGAAGCCTTATCTGCAGTAATACAGGCAAGATAAGAGAGCGATAGCGATGAAAAGGATGAAACAGCATCAAGATTAAAGACTCACTTGAATAAACAGAGGAATCACTGATAGCTAGGTTTATGACTACTACTGATGCACATTTTGATACCATTCACCAAATCCACAAGAAGTCCAAGATCTTATATATAGTGTAGCATAAGAATTTAACCAAGAACACAGATTTTTTTCTACTTTACTCAAGATTTGAAAATCTGAACATATAAACTAGAATATAAGGCTTTATTCATATTAGAAACCTTTACTCAAATGTTACCTACCTTCTCAGTAAGGCCTTCCTTGGTTATTCTACCTAAAATTCTTACCAACCTCCCCACAAAAAACTCCCTATACTCCTTTTCTGATTTGTTCTTCCCCTTAGGACCTAGGACTGTCTAGCATATTATTCATTTTACTTGTTTGCTGTAGTATTTCTTTGTGCATCACCAGAGAGTATTATATCCTTAAGAACTGAGATTTCTTTGTTCATTTAAATATCCCCAGTGCCTAAAACAGTGTCTAGCACACAGTAGCTGCTCAATAAATATTTGTTCCATGAAAGACTCACTTTTAAAAATATAATGTTCCCTTTTAATAAGATTCAATGAAGTTTCCTTAGTATAAGGTAAGGTAAAAACTCAGCAACATATTATCTACTGAAATATGAATGAGAGTGGTTTAAATGATTGACAAGAAAAATTTAGATTGGATTAAAAAAGAAAATAATAAAAAAAGAAACTGAAGCCAGAAGGAATCTAGTGAAATTGGGAGAAAATCAGAGGCACAAGGTAACACAGTAAGCATGAAAACGCAGAGCAAGAAAAAAGGAGTAAGAGAAATGACAGGAAATTGTAAAATTCCTCAAATGGAACAGTTCTGGGTAACAACCAGATTTAGCAAAGTAGCCCACTAAAATGAAGACCAGGAGGTCAAGACTTTGCAAAGAAAAGTAGCCAACAATGATGTTGAGGCTCAGATGTGGAAAAGCTGGCTATAGGAAGGAATTGCTAGGGTCACTAAATGAAAAGAAAAGCTAGAGGATGCTGATCTGAAGGGTACAGGGTGTCAATAAAGGGTGATACAGAAATACTCTGTAAGGGGAATAAAAAACAATAAAAATGCTGACACCATCTCTACTCCCACTCCCACTTTTTTCCCTAACGCTGTGATATTACCGTGAATAGGAGAACCACTATCTTTCAAAAGACAGAACTGCTGAATCCTAAGGGAAAAGCCAGTTAATGCAATTAGTTTTTAGTGGAGGAAGAGTTCTGTAGAAGGACTGAGGTTTCACAATGAAATAATTCACAGAGGCACAGTGGGAAAAGCTACGCAGGAAATTGTTGTTCTGTACTTTTAAAGTTCAATCCAAGGCAGAAAGATGTTTCCCTGGTCTTTTAAGGTTTCCCATTGTGGAAAGAAGGTGAGTCTCATTTTTAATAAAGCTACTGCTATATTATAATTACTTTATTATTCCTCCTAGAAAACAAATACTCTAAATTTGTTTTAGGCTCTAAAATCAGGAAAGAAATCCCACCGTAAAAATGTGTCTTTTTAAACAACACAACTATTATCTTAAGGCATTTTAATTTTCATAAACTACTTTTTAACCACAATCTAATTACTCATTACTCTGAAAAAAAAAATTCCTTAATCTCTTTGGCAACTTCCTAAACTTGAAATGTTTGTTTTGCCTTTCATTTCAATATTACTTTTTGTCACTCTAAGTTTACAATATCTACCTTATAACACAGCACAGTGCTTTTTTCTTGTTTTCACAGAACATTTAAGTAATCCAGATTTTTTAAGAGTCCTACTGTATCTAGGTAGCCTACTCCATTTTTTGTCATCTCTTAGTATATAATATGCTTTAAAAAGTATGATAATTTTAATTAAATTAGTAAATTCACATTATTTTAATTAAACTAGTAAATTCACATTATTTTATGATCTACTACATAAACTTAAAAATAGCTATTTTAGATTCCCCATGGCAATTAAAAATTGTGTTGAGTAGTAAATATTTTAGCAAAATTTTAATGTCATTATTGACGGTTTATTCAGGTGTTTAAAAAATCTCTAAAGGTGTATTATAATTCAGTGTTTTAAATTTAGTATCACACACAATTCAGCTAAAAATGGTCAAATAATAAAACCTATAGATATGGTAAACACTTTGACAAAATGTTGGCCTATAAAATAGAAGTGTCATACAAACAGAGAAGAACCACTATATCTAACAAAAAATGAATGCAAAAGAGAAAGTTTCTACCATGGGGAATGTGGAGCTCTATAGTAAAGATTATCTATACAAATTAACAGTTAAATTGTATTTAGCATTTGAAAAAAATATGTGATCCAAGATAACACTAACTTGTATCAAAGAATTAAAGGAAAAAAATCAAGGCTATAAAGATTTATAAGGAAATGAAGGATACAACTCATACAGATCAAGAATGGTGGCTCTGAGAATCCCTCCTTGTCAAAGACCATTCCATTCCATCCATCCCTAAGTGTCTGGGAGAAAGGTAGTACTTTCATTATCTTAGGCTATACCACCAAAGCTGGGTGTTTCTTTTGAATTCCTTCTCAATCATCAATAAAGTATGAAAGCCAATTATGTTGAGCAGTGCTTTCCAACTTTTTCCTCAGGCATACTTCGAAAAAACATTTATAATGCAACCAGGAAAGAGGAGGAGCTGCTAGCGTTAAGAGGCAAAAAGCCTGGAGGCTCAACCACTTTTACCTACTCACAGCACACAGCTTGGGCAGCTCTAATTTGGAGTATCAAAAGGGTAACCTGGGAAATAAACCCTACCTTCAGAAGTATCACAAAAACAAGCGAGTTATAGGTAAGTATCATAGGAAATAATTTCTGATCACTCTGAATGAACCAACAAATAAATGAATGAATGAATGAGTACTGACCCAATTACACAAAATGCTGCCTTCCTGAAAAAATCCCGGTCAGATTGCTCTTTATTTGTGTTCCTTTATAAAAAAGGAGTGAAATATAACCCTTTGGGAAGTGTAACAAGACATTTTTAATACGAGTAATTGGAAATCAAAGGCTGGAAAAGTCTTCTACTAAAGCGCTTCTTTCACCCTTGAGAAAAGCCACCTTTCTTCTTCACTATTGTTACAAGTATTCTGACTTATAAACACTCTTTAAAGTATTACTTTTAAAATATTACCTAGTAGAACAGGTCACCACAGGCTCTTTCTTAGAAGTCTACAAGCCTTATTTTAAATAAGCATTAGTACACGACAGCCACCATCTTACCCAAGGCCAGAACCACCTTTAAATATTCAAACGTTCAGAGAAGACATGTTAAATTTATTATACACATTTCTGACTTCAACTGGGGTGTCCTACAATCCTAAAACCACACTTCGGTTAACTGAGATACACTGTCAGGAGTGAGTCATAAACTCACACAAAACTAGAGTCGGAAGGCTTTCAAGATGATATAGGATAACTCTCTGTTACCTGAGGCAGAAACTGGGGCACAGACAAGTTAGGCCACTTTCTAGCTTACTCAAGTAATTCGGTAGTAAAAAATATCCAGAAACCAAGAACCAAAATTAAAAGTAGGCTTATTCAAAATGTTCATGTATGAAAAAACTGTTTGGAACTTAAAACACGTTTTCAATAGAAATAACATTATAGATGCTAAATGGGCTCAGACCATCCACAAATATATAATTACAAGGAATTCTAGTTATTTTCAAGAGTCTTAGAAATTTTTGGCACTTTATTCTCATTTTGCTTCTAAGTGTATGCTCTCCTTTTGCTTGATGCAGGAATGACACTAACATTAGTCAGCTTTTTCAGATACAATTAGAGTTGTTTTTGGCTCACAAATAAAATAAAGAAGCAGAAAGCATTTTACACACTGATTAACAGAGAGTAAATATCTAACATTATCAAAGGTTAGATTCAAATTTTAAAATATATACATGTAAGAAAACAGTCACGTGGGTGGAAGATAATAGTGTTAAAAATTATGCTGACCACCAGCTAGTCTTATGAGCCTAGAATAACTAGATTAATAGGGAATGAAAGAAGGAATCTGAGAACACAAGAATCTAGCGTAGGAGCTAGCAAAATTTTTCTGTAAGGGACCAGGTATTTACAGCCTCTGTTGCAACTATTCAACTCTGTCATCATAGGGTGACAGCAGCCAAAGACAAAATGTAAATGAATGAGCTTCGTTTTGTTCCAATAAAACTTTATTTTTAGGACAGTGAAATTTGATTTTCATAAAATATTCATGTGTCATAAAATTATTACTCTGATTTTTTTCAACCATTTGAAACTGTAAAAACTATTCTTAACTCGTGAGCTCCCATCTAACACATGTACATTAATGTTAGTCCCAACTGCGAAGAAACACGCATATTTCACTGTCTTTAACATTAAAAGAACCACAGAAACATAATTATTTATCACGGGCAAAAATAATTCTCATCAATGATGGTACACTAATCATAATTTTAAAGAAATAATTTACTCTATAGAACCTTAAAATTAGAGCAATAGATGCATTATTCATTACCATTTTGTCCCTGAGTCGCTCTCCACGGATAAAAAAGTCAGCACAGCCATTCTCTTCCTGGTGAGGGACTTTGAAGACAGTGACGCAGCTTAGTCCACTCCCTCCAAGTGGTAACCATCCACCACTTGAGTCATCCCGGGTCATCACCACAGCTCGCACTCGTGCATAACTATTACTAAAATAGATGCAAAGATTAGAAATTAGCTTTTCCATAAACAAAAAACAGCCAAGCTGTCAGTCTTCTTTGAGAAAGCAAAGACCACACTAGTTAATGTGTGGTAACTAAATAAAATGTTTATTACTTCCATGACAGTCCACAGAAAGTAACCTACTTGAAAGAGGTCAAAAACCACAAACTTAAAAGGTTAACCTTTATTTTGAAGACTAACCTCAAAATAAAAGACTACAGATCTTATTTCAATTCATCATTTGAGTAGTTCAAGCACATCTGACTGCCATGGAACAAGTTATGAAGGACCCCAGAGACAAGTGAACAATATGTTGAACCATACATACAGGCCACCATCAAACTTGTCTATATATATATCCACCTGCTGCAATATAACCAGGAAAAATTATTGCTGTATCTGAGCATATTTAATTGTGACATCTCTAAGTTTCTAACATTTATGGAATATATTATAAAGAAAATGTTGAAACAAACATGGTTAGCTCAGATCCCACATTTTTGATTTCTTCTAACAACTGGGAATCTAAATTACACAAATCATATAAAGATAAATGTTCTGTTTCAATAACTTATCAAGCAAATTGGTCTATAGAAACCTTTCATGCCTTCTCTTTGGCAGACTATTCTTAAGAGAGACTACATTCTAGTTCCATTCAGAATCATTTCCCAATATTAACCAAAACTGTTCTTTACATAAAATATAAGAAATGTGTTTCATATACTATTGTTCTAGATAACTAACATGTAAGCATTTTGGTTCTAAAACTTTTAATATAAAAATTATTAATGAAATCCTTTCTAAAAGTAATATACCTTTCTGACTTCTTAGAAAATTATACTGAATATAACCTAAACTTGTCTTGGTTATTATGAATATCAGTTAAGGTTCTATGTAACAGTTCTGTGCTTAGTGTCTCTGCATGTTCTAAGTGTTACATTGCCAGTTGTCCTTTCTGTTGTCAGTGCTTATTTGAAATCTCCTTGCTTTTTTTTTTACTTTACTTTTTATTTTGAGGTATACGTTACACATAATAACATATATTAATCTTAAATATATGTTAAGATTATAACATATATTTAAATTTTATGTTTTTTGAATTTTATAAAATTCAACAAAGTCTGACAAATGTACACATCTGTAATCAACATGATAGTCAAGATACAGAACATTTTCATGACTCCAGAAAATTCCCATAAGCCTCCTTCCCATCAACCGGGTAATCACTGTTTTGATTTCTAACATATACACTAGTTTTGTCTGTTATGGCCCATCATATAAATGAAATCAAACAGAATCACCACTTGTACCCTTTTGGTCTGACTTCTTTCACTCATTACACTACTGTACTAGTAGTTCATTCTTTTTTACTGCTACGTAGCCCTCTCACTGAATAAACTGTCACCATTCACTCGTTCTTTCTTACACTGATTGGCATTTGGATTGTTCCTAGTTGTTGGCTATTATGAATAGAGCTGTTATAAACACTCTTGTACAAGTCTTTTCGTACACGTTTTCATTTCTCTTAGATAACTACCTAGGAATGGAACCGATGGGTTACAGGGTACTATATAAAAAACTAACAGGGCCGGCCCTGTGGCTTAGCAGTTAAGTGCATGCGCTCAGCTGCTGGCGGCCCGGGTTCGGATCCCGGGCGCGCACTGACGCACCGCTTCTCCGGCCATGCTGATGCCGCGTCCCACATACAGCAACTAGAAGAATGTGCAGCTATGACATACAACTATCTACTGGGGCTTTAGAGGGGAAAAAATAAATAAATAAATAAAATCTTTAAAATAAAAACAAACTGTTTTCCAAAATGGTCGTACCATTATATATTCCCAACAATAATGTATGATAGTTTCAATTGCTCCACATCCTTGCCAACATTTGGTGTTTTCAGACTTTCAAATTTTACTCATTGTAGTGAAGCTACAGTGGTAATCCACTGTGGTTTTAACATCCATTTCCCCAATCACTCATCATGTTGAGCATCTTTTCATTGCTTACTGGCTATTGATATGCCTTCTTCTTTTAAAGTCTTTTGATCATTTTTTATTATGTGTCTTTTATTATTGCTTTTTAGAAGTTCTTTATATATTCCTGACACAAGTCTTTTGTCAGAGAGCTGCATCCTTTTAGAGCTTCACTGTGTTGTGGTTGAGTGAGGAGTCTAAAGTCAAATTTTCATAAGCTGGATCCTGGCTTGACAACTTACCAGCTGTGTGTCCTTGAGAAACATATAGTACCCACCTTTAACAAATGTAAACAATGCCTGATACATAATGAACACTATATAAGTATTAATTATTACTACAACAAAGAATTTAAAATTGAAGTAGTGGTCATCCTGGTAATTCAAAGCCAGGTAGGACCTGGGAAAAAATAAAATTTACATGGTCAACCATAATTCTCTAATATTGGGGTCAAAATTCTTCTTTATATTGAAGCTTTTAAAGTCTTTAGCTTTATAGGCTACCATTATGTCTAAGCTTTTTATTATTCAGTTATGCAGAGGCTCTCATTCTTGTCTGAGCCCAATTCTCATCAATCTTCAACTCAGAGAACTGGTCAGAGGAGGTGTGGGTGCATAAACATTGGGCTGACATACATATCAAATTGGAATCCTCCTCCTGGGATGGGCTGGAACAAGTATCTCTACTATAAATAAACATGACATGCATCCCAAGAAGCCAGAGAAACTTATTACACTAGGAACCAGCTTGAAGGGATAGAATCAATACTAGACAGGGGCCGGCCCCGTGGCTTAGCGGTTAAGTGCGCGTGCTCTGCTACTGGCGGCCCGGGTTTGGATCCCGGGTGCGCACTGACCCACCACTTGTCTGGCCATGCTGAGGCGGCGTCCCACATACAGCAACCAGAAGGATGTGCAACTATGACATGCAACTATCTACTGGGGCCGTGGGGAAAAAAAGGAGGAGGATTGGCAATAGATGTTAGCTCAGAGCTGGTCTTCCTCAGCAAAAAGAGGAGGATTGGCATGGATGTTAGCTCAGGGCTGATCTTCCTCACAATCAATCAATCAATCAATCAATCAATAAATAAATAAATAAAAATAAATAAATAATAAAAAAATACTAGACAAAGGTCACTTGGTTTACCAAGAATTTAAGTCTAAGGATGTCCCAGAAGCACAGCACACAACTTAGACATATTAGGTTCAGATTAAATGCTTGTGAACTGAACTTATGCATTTAAAGCTCAACAAATTTGAAGTTCAGTGAAGTTACCTGCGTCAAAACCAAAATCCAAGTTTCCATACTCATTTAAGTGTTTATTTTACTATAGGATCCTGACTCTTCCTTCTCATCTAATTATGTAGTAAATTGGGAAATTTAAGAATTTTATACTAGATTCTACAAGACTTGGAAGACCCAAGGAATTAACTCACCCAGTTCAGAAGCTCAGAGTATATTTTGACTTCAGAGTGTGAAAGTAGTTATCCTCGTTAGGGCACAGAGATTTTTATCATCTTTGAATCTTACTAATTCTCATTTACAATTTGTATAATGCTTCTTCTGCATATTTTATATTTTAAAAATATAAAAATGTGCATAAGTAAGATTATTAAAAATATATATAAAACCCTAGTGGTTATTTTAGGATGGTGAAATTAGGTATTTTCCCTTCATTTCTCAGTTTCTTCAAAAATTATTTTATAATTAATACTTATACCAACTATACCAAATACATAACTGTTTCCCTTATCTATTCCAGCTGATCTTTCAAGCTTTAAAGTATTCCAGAAGCTTATGTGTATTCTCCCTACCACAGCCTTCATTAGCTTATAATTTAACAACTCAGCTTTCAACTTCAAGATCTAAGACGAGAACATTTAACCACAAAATTTTTCAAGTTGTTCAATAAGTGTTTGGTTTTTTTTTTTTTTAACAGACCTTCCTTCTTGCCAAAGTTAAGCTTTTCACCTGTGCTTTTAATCTCATAACCCCCTTACCTTCAAATGTCTTCTACTCCCAAATAAAAGCAGTAACTCTTTTGTCTAAAACATGCAACTATTCCCAAAGACCAATGGCAGCTCTTACAAACTTTGTCATACTTTGCCTTGCAGCATAACAAAATTTGTACTTGTCATCCCCTCCTTAAACAAAATTGACTTAAGAGCAAGGAACCAAATCGTATTCTTCTATTTAAAATAATAATAATTTTTTTTCCTGATCCTGTAAACAAGAGAAGCCCATTCTAGTAAATGTGAAAAATAATACTTGCCATCATGGAATTAAAATTTAACAATCTCTTGAATTTTTACTCTCTCTAGGCATCATATTTGTAAACTATTAGTCTCTGAGACAACAGCCATTTGTTATGATAACTTACTTTACTGCCAAAAACTCAGCAATTTCACTCTTAAGCTTCTTTAAAATATTTAGTTGAAAGGCACTTGTTCCCACTGATTTATCTAAAAAGTCAACTCTGACAACAATTAGTTCTTTAGTATCTTTCTCTAAAATAGTTCAAACTAAAGCTCTATTCTTCCCTTTGCTAGTGGACTACACATAATAACCACTTTTTCAGCTTAGATTTCATTCTAATGAAATGAAGAGGCTCTTGTAAAATGTTGCTTGGTTTCCTTTATTTTATTCAAAAATCTACATTGTATCTCAACAGCTAATCTCTGATCTTATTTGAACAACTATATCAAACATATCCTTTCCGCCAGAGTAGCGAAATCAGCCAACTAACTAATGTAGAAGTCCAGGTTAGAGGTAACGTTGGATTGGACCAACGTGATAATAATAATGGATACAAGAGGAATGAACTGACTTGGGTTTACTATTTTGGAGGAAGAGCCAGGAGGACTTGTTGATGGGATTGCAACTACAAAGCTGGTGTTCTAAATTATCTAAAATTCTTAATAGTCACCATGAGCTTTATTTTCTAGAACGTTCAACTGATATTTCAATAAAGTTAAAGGCAAAAGAAGAGGACCAAACACGAAGATAAAATT